ATATATATATATATATATATATATAGAAAAAGGAAAACCATAAACATGCAGGTTGATACTTAATTACATGCAATGAATATAAGAATTGTGTTCTACTCCTAAAACCAGGCAAACAATTGCTGTGCTATGGTTACACTTTCCAATATGTTTCATTTTTGTAAATATAAAATCATATCAAACAGTTACAATACTAAAACATTTTCACCCATTTTTATTTACAGTTAGATTATTTTTTCAGGTAAAATTTTAATCCATTCATTTGATTCTTCAAACTCCATCAAGTTATCAACTTAACACTTACCATGACAAGGCATAGCAACAGTGAGGTCTATATTAATCTTAAGTTTGGCATCAAAGTCTGTATCAGGAAGGAATCTAAACTTGAAGTTTGCTTGCAGGTAGTAGGAAACCTCTGCATATAGCAACCACATAATGAGGCAACATGTCACCACAGAAACTGCAAAATATAGACCAGTTTGATAATTACAGAATCAGTTGATACAACAACATTAACGCAGTAGTACATACAGAAGAATCACTTCTCCAGTTATTATGTGTTCTCTGCACAATGCGCATATAAGTTGGGTAGCTCAGTCAGTATAGTGACTGACTATGGGTTGGACAAACAACTTCATGGCCTTACTGTCATATACTGTTCCAATGGACTGAATTGTATTACATTTTCATTGAGTGGGAGGCAAATACTGAATATGAAGAAAAATTATAGTATTGTTAAGATTGGAATTACAAGAAAAGAAAATTTTTCTTGTACCTGACCAAACACTGCAGTTGAGAAGTTCACACCCTGGACTAGAGATCTGAGACTTTGTATAGTTTTCCTCAGTCCCTCCAGAAAAATTCAGGGATAGTATTTATCTTATGACAGAACCACTTCCTACAATTTATTATTCACTAATCAGCTTATAATTTGATGCTAAATAATCTGAGCTATAGAGAACACTGTTAAATAAGCCAAAAATAAATTATGATTTGTAATATTTCAACATATTTTTGTAGTTCTCTTTCAGGTACAGTTAGAAGATAAGAAGGGTCACTTCAGTCTACTTTGATTTTATTTGCTTCCTATTGTGTTTGTGATGGATCTGGTAAGTGCAAATAAAATTTTTCAAGAGTGATGTCATGTGAGAGCATGATAAGAGATCCACCTATAAGATCACTGTATTATAACATTATAAAATTCTTCCTTAAAGATGAAAAGATATGAATATTAATAATACTGCCCATCCTGCATTTCACCCCACTCACTGCTAATTATCTGTCTATCTGCAACCACATTCAACTGATTATATCACATATTAAATTTACTTTGTAACAGCTTGACATTAAATTTATCAACAGTTAAATGCATACATGTTCCTCCCACTGGTGATGTCTCAACATAAGACTCAGGAACTTTAGGAAATGCATCCAATTCTTTGACTGTCTTTGAAACACGCTTTGCTCGGCTTCGCAGCATATCTCCTGCATGGCAAACACACTGGTCTGAAAAAAGAATTTTAAAATTAATAACCGACAAACAGTTTTCTAAAGAAACATGTGGTAACATGATGATGCTCTTCCTTCTGGGTATGGTGCAGTATAGACATGTTAGTAGATGTTGACTCTGAAGATCGATACAGTATGTTTATCCGAAACATTGGTATCTACCGACGAGTCTAAGGGACTAAAACCGAGAAAAACAGCACCGTCATCCTCACAGCCGTGAAAACCATACATAGCCAGTTTATGAATCAAATGTTTAAAAGCCATACAACTGCCATTGCATAATTATTTGTTTAAATAAGTCAGATATACCATTCTTTTTATTTGTAAACCGTTATCAGATGGCATTATTAACCACATCCAATATAAAACAACTGTTCTTTTATTGCTCTTAAGCCGGTACTTTCTGCCACGGTAGCATCACACCGGAAGACGCGTGACAAACGTCATACATTTTAAAGAATAAAAAACAGTACATATAATTTGTTGAAACTGCATCACAGAAATATAAAACAAATTCTAACTTACACTAGAATGAAGTTGTTTTCACAACTATCACAAACCATACATAGATTAACCTAGTTTGACACATACAACCAATGCAATCACATATGGCACGTCCATTCGTGACAACTGAGGCACAAACGAGAGAAATTCGATTCAGGTTCTTGAGTAATCGAGATTATTCTGTGGAAATTCACTAACAATCGAATTACTGTCGAATCGAATTCTAAATGTTTTTGTTTACGGAGTTGAGGTTAAGTTTGTAAACAAACTATGTCAGGAGGGGTGTTTATGATATCTGCTTCTGGACAAATTGAAAGTGCCGTGTTTCATGAATTCGACGATATATACTGTAAATATTGTTTTGTGTATGGTCCTGATTGGGTTGTTACTTCGGTGAGACCATTTTCCTACTTTCACTATGGCATTTTTATAGTGTCAGATGTAAGCATGTTCTCCTTTTTTGATACAACTGCAGATTATGATGAGAATCTTCATACCACTCCCTCTCGTTCTTGAGAGGAATATTCTTCTTCTGGGATGTTGCGTCTTTTATCCTGGTAGTAGTTTACTGACGTTTCAGGGTAGCCCTGGTGATGGAGGCAGCACACACCTCCGATACGTCTGTAAACTTGTCATGCTACATGGCACAGCATCGCATAAGACAGTCTTCTTCTAATTCCCACCGTGAGAGTCGGGAACGTTACCTATGCATTATTTGTTGTGATTAATGTAATTGCATTTAAATTGCTACAGTTAATTAAAATAATATAGTCTTACATGATTCGGTTGAAATTTCCCTGGTTCTGTAATATATTTTCACAGTAGACAAAACTAAATACATGGGCATAATATGGGATCAACATCAGCAACGACGGCAGAACATAATTTTGAGTAACACACCATTTGAAAATGTTTCAAAATTGAAGTATCTGGAAACAATAATAACAAATAGAAATGAGGTCCATGATGAAATTAAGAGTAGAATGCATTCAGGGAACGCTTGTTTTTATTCAATTCAAAAATTGTTATCTCATTTACTATCCAAAACAATGAAGATCAGGATATATAAAACAATTTTGCCTGTTGTCTTTTATGGCTGTGAAACATGGTCTCTTACCTTGAAGGAAGAATGTAAATTACAAGTGTTTGGAAACAAGGTGCTGAGGAAGATATTTGGACCTAGGAATAAAATTGGCTCAGGATTGTGGCCGGTGCAGGCTGTGGTGTTGTCAGTGTTGAACTTGCAGGTTCTGCTACCATTGAGTTAGTTAATAATTCTGCCCTGTGGATAGATTTTTTATGTAACTTAGGAAGGGCAAACTGTGATGTGCAAGATGTGGGTAAAATTTACTTTCCTTTATAAAACTGCATTACAACAGGATTTAATCATGTTGTAATAAAGTCCCATCCCCCCTTAAAAGAAGTATCACTTTAGAACTTCCATGGATACCACCAAAATCAAGTACTATAATTTTCAGTGACATTTTCTCCACAATTTTTTTAAAAAAAATAATGTTGCATATAGTATAAAAATCATTGAATTTATCTGGACTAGAACTTAAATAATTTGTGAATATCACCTGTAAGTCTCTAGAATATGACTGACATAGTCTATATCCATATATTAGTCCTCTGAAGGATCTATAGAATGTAAATACATTCAAATGATATATGTGACTAATAATCCAGTCACCTAAACCTGCAATGGGAGGTTTGTGTAAATGGACAGCACTGTTGTCTATGGTTTAGTAATAAACAGGGCCATTGGCAATTTCTCATAAAGAATCTGACATCTGTTTCTAGGGAGTTGAAGAAGGCATTTCTCAGATAGTAAAGAGAAGTAGGGACGAGAGACATCTGTTTGTATGGAACTTCCCTTTGGATGTCACATTCAAGAGTACAAATCCTTATGGTTGTAAGTTCTGTTCACTGAACCAGTGTTATTATAGGATTTGTTGTATATGTTTTAATGGTATTTCTTTAAGTTGTAATTAACAACATTATCATTAAATATTTCTCTGAAATTAATGTGTTCTGCAAAGAACACGAGGTATTATAAATTTTATCCATCCACTCAAAGCAATATTTTTACAGTTCATGCATGCATGCAGAAATATTGATGGGTGTTATTGCAATATTTACTTGAAAGTTGATGTCAGCTAGCATCAGTTGGAATTTCCAAAGGCTGTATGCTTGAAGCACTGTTATCAGTTTCTTTTTGTACAGTGTGCTGTCTTGTCATTGTTCCACAAACAGCATTGTGCTTGTTCATAAGGTCAACAGTGAAAGTATTGGAATTTAAAATTATTACAAAATAATAAGAGGTTTTCACAGCAGTGAGTCTGAAGATTGCTGTCTTCTGGGTTATTGTGCCATGCAATCTGGTAGATTTCCACCATTTCAGAGGTCACACTGCCTCTGTCATCAGGGCGATGAATTCTACCAGACTACATGGCACAATAACCCAGAAGACAGCAATCTTCAGACTCACTGCTGTGAAAACCTCAAATCCTAAATAAATGATATGTTTTCATCTGTCCTGTCTTTTGGAACTATAAAATAATAAAGCTACATTAAATCTTTGTTTTAACATTACTGCTGTAACCACAGTAGTATACAATTTTATTTGTGTCTTTTGTAGGGCCACAGCTGGTTGTGAGTGTGTATGGTTTGGATATGTTTGGCAATGATGTGGTACGAGGATATGGTTTATGTCACTTGCCCATTGCAGCAGGAGTGTATAAAAAGACGTGAGTCTTAAATTTTTTTAGTGGTTATTGGATCACTTTACTACTGTATCACACGAGGCTATCCTGATTTAAAGCATGTATGATCCTAGGTTATGTACACACCAAAGTTGGCAATCATTGTCTTAAGTTTGAACAGTGCATACTTATTATCTATTACAAATAGGATCTATTTCATATTATTGACATTAGGATCCAAGAATTCTGTTATTGATGACTAGAGGCCTCTGGAAATGCCATTGTTGGATATGTTTCAGTGTTCTGTGATAAATTTCTCAAAAATAGCTTAAAGCATATTTATAACCTGAAGTGTTCAAACATTTAGTTAATCCACAATTCAGATTTTCCATGTAATCATCCATAAAATAAAGGTAAAATTATACCTCAAGTTTAATTAATATAATCAGTACTAAATTACATTGGTAGTTCATTGGTATGTTGTTTTTAAATAAGTACCAGTCTGTCTGTCTGTCTGGTCTACTAACAAGCATTATTTTTTATACTTACATAAGTAGCAGTTAGAATTGGCCAATGTGTTACAAAATAATACTTTTGCGAGAAGTTCTAGTTTCAGAACATCACAGTTTGCATGTAAAATATGACAGTTTGTCACTATCTTATCTACAAGACCAAGTTCCAAGTTTCTTGTATACTGTAGTTAGAATTGTTCAGAATTAAATGTCATGTCATCATTGTCCAGCAGTAAGAGCCTGTTGTTTCTTCCAGGTTGGCCATGTTTGTACCTGAATCAACATCACTTCTACAGAAGCTAACTTGCTGGTTAACAGGGCGACGTCCTGAATATATAGATGCACGTGTACTTGCTCAAGGTGAAGGGAGAGAAGGTGAGTGGATTATAACACTTGTTAATTAGGTGTACATTCCTTAGGAACAGTCATGTCACAGAATACTGTATTTTTTAGACTTGAGTCATTCTTCATACTTTATATATAATTTGCACACAAAATACAGGATGAGACAGTTTTGGTGAGATTTGAGGTTCTCATGGTGACAAATATGAAGATGAATGTCTTCTGGGTTGTTGCACTGTGTAGTCTGGTAGATATTTATCATTGTTTTAGAGGAGCTTGCTGCCTCCATCATCAGGGCAATGAGTTAAACCATGTGCAAGGAATTGGTTTCAGATATCTAATTTCCCTGATGATAAAGACAGCAAGCACATCTGAAACATCAGTAAACTTCTACCAGGCTGCGTAACAAAACATCCCAGAAGACAGTCAAAGTTTTGGCTGTGCAGTTATCTTGGCAACCAGCAGCATTGTTAGTACAAGGAGGAAGTTATTGCTCTCTTCTGAGCTACTCTTTAGTGCAGAATCTTTATGGATTTGCTGTAACATACTCATCTTTAAAATGTATGGTGGAAAAATAAATAACCAGTGTATATTGCTTCTACTGGTGTATACATTTTAGTGATATATATATATATATATATATATATGTTACAGCATGTTTCTAAAATCATATAGAAGTTATTGGCATTAATTTGTGGGTCTGCTAGCAGTAGCGGTATGAGTGGTTCTTTATTTATAGATGTCTGAAAAAATAATTTGTTCTCAAAGTAAATGCAGTGTATTTCAAACAGTTTGGTGTATAAAGATTAAAATATTTCTTATAATATATATTCATACTTTAGGTCCCTTGTGGTGCATTTTTGTGATAGATGGCAATTGTTAGTGAGTTTTAGCAATCTTAAGACATTTGTATTGTATCCATACTTTCTAATCTATAAATAATTTTAATAAATACTTGTCACCTTTGGTTTTGCTGCATTTTATAAGGTACTATATGATGCAGTCCCTGTCCATTGGTCCATATAAAATGGAAACAGAGCTGAAGGAAGAAGATGCTCTCAGTATCAATAAATTTGTCCTTATGAGTCTTAAAAGTTTTGGGCAGACTTCTTAAGCGCCATGAATTTCTAAATATGGAAAGATATGTGATTTTAATCATTCATGTTTCTGTGTACTGTATTGCAACATTCATAAAGTTCCTTGAAAATGCAGTTCACTGCTGCAAAATGGTGAAATTATAGTCATGGAAGTATTGAAACAAATTAAGTATATTTTGGGTTAAAACACTCCACATTTAAGAAACCTAAAATGCACCAAATGCAAGTCAAATTAGTGATTATTATGCATAAGTATACTTAATTCATTGCCACACAAAGGTATTTCTAATACAGTGCATTCAAAAAGTCACTGTGCAGTTGCAGTGATATAGTAATGTACAACCTGGCAATATTGGCACTGCACAGCAACTTTTCAAATGCCCTGTATATTATAAGGGTGTTTGTCATGTGGTGTCATGTTCAAAAGTGAAAGTTAGATATCCAGCTCTATAAAGTTTCAAAACAAGATTTTGCAGTACAATAATTGTGTTATGTTTCTGACTTGAATATACTTAAACTTTGGTTTAAATGTAGCTTTGTACTTTGACTTGATACAAGTCAGATACTTACAGTATTATCATTATTGCCCTTTAAGGAATTCAGAAAATCTTGTCAGTACCTCCATCTTAGAAACTGACAGTTGTTCCCTTAAAAATGGCTTCTCATATCAAAGATACATATTTAACAGAATGTTCTCATAGAATTATAACAGTGTTTCTGAAACATGTTTTGATGCAGCAATATTCCTTTTCATTTATTTTCACTACCGAAGTAAGTAGTCAGGCAACCAACATGAAGTGGAAATGTCATAGGAAGAATAATTAAGTGGCAGCAGCCCCAACTGGCCAGTGTGATTTAAAATTTTATTTTGCATTTAACTTTTAATAAGAAGTCCCAGTTTCCAACTTCTTCAGGATTGTAAAAACACTGTCTTCCCAAAATCCAGGTTTGGAGATTTTTACAAAGTGTAGTCCAAATTGTCTAACACTTAGTCGGAGCCCACCCATAATAATGTACATCAAAATGTTCTCAGTTAAGGTGGAACTTTCTCATGTGTAAAGATGAGCAATGGCAATCAACACATTTCTTAAAACTTCAAATTGTTTGCACAACATAACTATTTTTCCCCAGTAGTAAATTACACTGACTATCCATAAAGCAACTTATATCTCAGCACATTGTACACATTCATTTGTAATTCTTAAATTTAAAGTGGATTAGGTGGTGTAGCTGATGCTTGATGAATTCTGATGACGATCTGGTGTGCACTTTCAGTGACACGGGTTCGATCACAGGGGCGGATGAAAGTTAATTTCAGTGTGGTCACAAAGGATCTTGCCAGATTTGGATACAACAACCACAGAATAGACGCAAACAGTGCAACTTGTACAAGATCACACCAGTGAAGTATAATGAAATGTGATGTGTTTGATATTTACAGTGATATTTATTTAAGTACACGTGAATATATGACAATATTAAAATATCTGGCAGCAGTTATCTTCTTGTGGAGTGCAGTCTCTTTTTGATTGGCTGTCATCTGAAACAGTCATAAGTCCATGAGTTTCAGTCTTGGACGAGTGAAGTTCTATTTTCATAATATAAGTATCCTAAAATGTTATGTGATTTAAATGATTTATAATGGAATTCCTGTAAGACAACCAGTGTGTTTGGACTGAACTACATACTTACAGCTAGTGCTTAGAATCAGCCAGTATATGCCAGTATACAATACTGGTGCTTCTTTTTGTCTCTGAATTCCATACCAGTACAAAATTTTCATACCAGTATATCACTTCTAAATATTGGACATCAGCCGAATTTGCAAAACAGACTAAAAATGTGGAGAGAAGGAAGTTTAGTTAACATTATGCATAGGGGCAATAACACATGTAATGATTTCGAGATAATAATATTCCAAATGGAGACAATAAAGAGAAAGCCACCTACAAGGGAATTAAAATGATCCTAATAAGTACTTTTTGTGCATAAAATATGGGCCTTTTGCTGGAAACACTGACAGAACTTGATGATCTGTCCTTAGAAATATCAAAGCATTCTCTATCACTAATAAATGCTCATAGACTCTTGGAAATCAGATGCTGAGTGAGTCAGTATGTTCTAATCTACGGAGTATTTTTAACAGGCTCTGAATTCTGCTACTCGAAGGATTTTGCAACGTACCCCTTTGTACAATTTTTTAGAATTCTCTGTGGAAACCTAAAAACCAGGATGCTAAGAACAATGGCTGTATGCACATTGTTCTAAGACTGGCAATATTCAGTTCCAGTACACCAAGATGATTAAGTGTTTGGCAGTTCGTGATGAAACAGAATGGCCAACAGATTCAGATATTTGTTTTGATGATGGCCCCATCAAATCTCTGGGAAAGTTTCTCAACATCAAAATGGGAATTGTTCAACAATGCATTCATGCTTTTCACTTTGTGCTATCCTCGGAACCAACCACAGTACTAAAAAGTCAAAGTCATCTCAAACCTTTACTTGAAATAGTACACACATTGATCATATTTATGGCAGGGTGTGAACATTCATTTATTAGCATGAATGATGTCTTCACTCATACTAGTAGTTTGCTGTAGTTGAAAACTATCTTTCATGAAATATTTATAAAAAAAATGGACCTCCTATACAACATTTTCACCCAGAAGGATTTGTTCAGAGTTAGATTGGGAAAGGCAGGCACCATGCTATGTTACAAAAAGTAGACTGTACCTCACTGGGAAAAGAATGGCCGAGGATCCCCTTGAGTGGAAGCAGAGTGTAAGCATTATGCCTGATTCATAAGAAATTTCAGGTATACATATAACTCAGTGATAATGAAGAATATTTGACAAATTTTGATATTGGTACTGAATAATTTTTATACAAATATAATGGCTTAGTTTTCAAATTAATAAAAGGTTTCTAGAAGAGGAATTCCAGTGTATACATTTTTATCCACATTTCCTAGAAATGCTTATTGTGGTCTGGCAGATGGCAGTAGAGCCAAGTTTGGCATAAAGAAATGTACTGACAGTTCTTAATTTCTATTTCAAACACTGTTTATGACAGATGTTATGTATGACCCTTGTTTGAGCATTGGAATGGTCACATAGACTCGGTTTTCATGATGGAGGATTCTGGTGTCTTCAGCCCATCATAAAATTATTAAATGACATTGGACATTTTCCTCCTTACTCTATTCCGTTTCCAAAATGAAGTATGGACAAATGAAAGGAATGGGATGTGTTGGTAACCACCCATAAGACCATATGGTGTTCAAACTACAATTGACATCTTCACCATGAGAACTTCATTTATCGGGTAATTGACTTATAAAGATGAATTCAAACACTTCGACTTGTATGCCTCAAAAACTATCACAAAACTATTGAAAAAAGTTGTTTGTGTTGTTCATTAAGTGAACGTTTTAGATTTTTACTTGGTGGCATTTTATGGTTGACAGAGTAGCCATCATCACTGAATAGCCAAATGATCTACTTTCATCAAAATATGTCAGTAGATTAAGTTCCTTACTGAAATATTTTAAAGCTGACTGACTGTACTTCAATTTCCATAAGTTACTGTTGGTCTTATTGGATGTATGGGGTTCAGTCCCTAGCATGAGCATTTTACTTCCATGATCATATCTGGAGCCCACCCATTCAGAACCAAAGGACATGGCACTATACTCAGAAAGCAAAGGCAGTTAGAATATGATGCTGCCATTCTAAACTATGCCTATCCCTGCTGGTATGCTTTGCTTTCAAATGTGGCTTGTATATTAATAAAGTACAATAAATCTCTTACCTCCTGGGGTAGTGTATGCGGCGACTCCTGGCTGAAGTGAGGCTTAATCCATATGTGTTCAGCAGTTCAAATATGACACCATTTGTCCAGCCAAATCCTGACTGCACTGTATACTCTCCTCCACCTCCGTATTTCCCAGGATTCTCTGCATCATACTGTAGATAGAATGGTTTTTCACAATCATCAGAAATTCATATTTATGGTGTGCACATGTGCAAAGTATAAATATTCATATTCTTTATGTCATATTAGATGCCAAATGTCAAACACATTTTCAATAATAATTCTCTTGGAGTTTTGAATTCCTAAAGAGTTATTATTGAAAAGATTAATTATTTTTTATAAGACTGAAATTATATTGTGAATGTTGTGTCACTGGTTTTAAGAACTGCGTGGATATGGGATCAGCCATTATTCACAAGATAAATACAAAAATACGGCTAACTTCATGGAGCAAAGTCATTTTTGAGATGCTAATAGTACACTCAACTAGTCCAAAAATTCCCTGCCTTGTATAGAACTTCAAGGTCCATTACTATGTTCACAAGAACCAGCCACTGGTCCCTGTCCTTAGTCAGATTAATCCACATCATGACCATGATCCACTTTTATACTATCCTTTCATTTACACTCGTCTCACAGGTTTGCATGCAAAGAGAGTTAAACTAGCACACAGTGAAAATCATGTTATCCATGGAACCTAATACAAAAGAGTATGTTTTTTGTACATTTAAAGTGTGTTAAGTCATATTTAAAGTTTGATTAATGTTATCTCTTATTATATTCTGTGTCAAATTATATCCAGCTCATTTTTGGCATGCAGAATTTTTTACGTAATGCAGCTTTAGTATTCCCTATTTTATGTGACATCAATTTGATACCCTGAGCACAACTCATATTCAGAGTCCCAACGTGCAGTTAGCAGCTTAAGACCATTGATACCTCGACTGCACAATCACTGAAATGAGAAGTCTAAAAATCAGGAGGGAAGCGAAAGAACAACAATGGCCTGGTGTCCTGAAATTACTGAGTATTATATTTAGTAGCATTTGTTTCAATCATTATATTATTGTAGCAGTAATTTATAATAGTGCCTATTCCTGAGGTACTGAGGGTTACGTATTGTATGCTTCAAAACTAGAAACAAAGTCTAAAGGTCTGATAATAGTTTATGATGCCTACTTTCGTATAAACACTTCTGTCTGTACAAAATTCTAGTATACATTGTAACTTATGAATTATGGAATTTAATGATCCATTTGTATGTGTAATATCTATTAATACAGATTCCCTCACCATAGACATAACCTAAAAATTTAGCCCCATACCCATGTTTGTTATTTTTATACAGAAAGTGCTTAATGTAAAATTAGCAAATATGTTAAAAACATACATACAATACTTCACAGCCCTAGCTGCAATAGTTCATTACTTATTATCAGTTGCTCGTTGTAGATAGCAGGTTCTGGGAAACACTGTAAAGAACCTTCGGCTTCCATAAAAGATGGGAAACTTCTTTATTACCTGTGTCTGTTTGAGCACCTACTAGCTTCTCAAGAAGGACTCTGCTCCATGGAGTTAGTGATAAAATATATATAACTAGAATTTACAGACCAGTAAGAATTAACCACCGACTGGCAGCAATCTACAGACCAACAGTCAGAAACAGTGCTCCAGAAAACCATGTCATTATGATTCTTACCTTTTCAAACATCTCCTTTGAATCAAGATAACCCTTATGATTTGCATATACCCAGTTTCTTGCAAGTTCATAAGCCAGATTTTTAGCAGATGCGTCCTTTGTGTATGCAAGACCCTGGATAGCAATTATCTGCAGAGGCGGCCATGCATTTGGGAAGTCCCACTGCTCAGTTGTCAATTCAAGTGATGTTGGTATTCCCCCTAAGTAACTGCGAATTGCTTCGTCACCAATGTATTGTACTGATTTTCTGGCATAAAATTCTGAAAGTTCCTAAAAAAAATATCAAGTACATCATTAGCCTGAAAGAAAATACAAGCTGGAGAACTGTAAGACATTCCTGAACTTATAAGAATTGTCTCCATTACATAATGCAACAATACATAACATTACTGGAACAAATTATTTGTTACAATACATACTGCATCATAACAGTGTGTCCAGAGTGGTGCTAAGTTGGATGGGTAGAAGTACTCCCGAGATTTTTTGTTGAGAATATCATAGTCTAGCCAGGTTCCGTGCTTGTCACTCCAATGAACAGCAGTCACAGCAGCCTTCCACTGCTCAGCCACATTATGATAATGCTGAGACTTTTCGAGATCACCCAATGTTTGGTAGAATTTTGAAAGAAGTGTTGCATCCCAGTACAAAAAAGAATTCAGGTCCACTGGGATGATGTCTTCTGTGTGAATGTCAAGAAGACTTCCTGTAACATAAAATAACGAGCAGAATAACGCATGCATACTCCAGCCATTGGTCTTGATACTTAAATAAAATGTCATGAAATTTCTTAATAATGGGTTATTGTAAAAAAAAAAAAGAGTGAATGGTGTAAAATTCATATCTTGCTAATGCATTTAGGCACATGATTAGAAACTTGTGACATAACTGTGACTCTGTTAAATACTTGTCAACAGAGATTAACATTGTGGCATATGTTCTTATAATTTACTTCGCAGAAGGTTTCCACATCCACAGAGAGCAATTTAGGCAACTTGTAAAAAACCGATTTCAGGTTCTCATGGCAGCATGTATGAAGATGGCTTAGTTGTGTCCAGAACTGATCACAAAAATTTGTCTTTTGGAAATAATGTTCAGGTTGCATGGGTAATCTAATATTTTCTTCTTCCACACTTGTGGGTTAACTTTGCATTTTAACAGCATGGACACTTGGAAAGGGAACATTTACTGATACAACCTTATGAAGCAAATCATATGAAGAAAAATGACAGAGGTTAACAATTTAAAAGCGTTTATGAAATATTTTCAGCTTCATTTTAGCTCTGACAGCCCCAAACATATCAGGAATGAAGTTCTATTGACCTTGAAGTATGGTATTTAAGTCTTTTACATGGTGCCTGATCACAAAGCAATGCCATATCCTGAAGTCATTTTTCATCTTTTAAGTTCAATTAAGACTTTGCCTTCCACATTCATGAACATTTATATCTATTTCTAGCCTCAGCATTAGAAAATGTTTCAACATTGTACCATGAGTCAGCCAGACTTCAGTATGGTACAAGGCATTCCCATATTAAAAAAAAAATCTGAAAAAAAGATCGAAATTGGTGATGACCAAGTACATGTGATCGAATGAAGTTCACGACCAACACATCAACTTTTATAACTCATGATATGTTCTGACTTCAAAGTTCTTCCATATAGTGATTACCAGTGAAAAATACACAGAATTTCCATGTAATATCATGGATTTTGTTAGTCAATCTTTGTAAGACTTAAATCTTACCATCATTTGTACCATTGGCAATGAACCATCGACTAGAAAAGTCCCAGCCGGATTCAGCTGCAGATTTTATATTGATGTAGAAATCTTCCTTTTCCTCCTCAGTTGGAAGTTGTTCTGCATGACGGTAGTCCTCACTGCAAGAGTGATACATGCGACTCTTATAGGGCAGAATGTAAAACTATTATTTTGAAATGTAAGCTGGGATGGTAATGGAAGTGTCAATGCTACATGCATTGTGAAAGCTTCCGTTCAAGTGGAAGGATATCTCTGCAATGTGCTGTATGGTTAAAGGTTTGTATTTTCATTCCTTCAGATAAATACGAATGTACTGCCACAGATTAACAATATGATTAGAGACAACAGTTTGATGACTTGATTCCATATTGGCCATGTGCATAAACTGTAGTTTGTAATATACCTGGGCAGCCAATATTGTCCAACTATATACATCACAGTTCTGTTGCCATGAGACCAAAAGTCTTCTCTGAACATCAGGTAAGTCACAGAAGAGAAACCATAGTAGCCATTACCAAATTGTATGCTTCAAGGTCACAGCAGGATCATACAACATTGCAACATGAACAGAAAGCAGAGCCCAGGAAAGTGAAGAAAGCTTCGAACTAGCAGCGTAATAAAGCCAGCAATGCTCTATTGGTGACTTGGAGACATCAAGCAAGTAGTGGGGGAAGTCCTTCTGTGGTCTTCAAGCACGTAATTTGGTGATGGCTGCATTGATTACACTGCAGTACTGCAATGTCAGTCATGTCAGTGTTTCTCTGAATATAGTAAGTGCACATTTTATTAAATTATCCTCTACAGTCAGTACAATTCAACAGGCACTTAGTACATACCTGTAGGACTCTGGGCGTGGACCTTGTGATGCCGCATAGTATCGAGCCAGTTTGTATTCCTTGCCATTTATGTTGACAGTCACAGTTCGGTTAGTCATCCAGAACTGGAACTCTGCTTCCAGCAGGTGTATGTTGTTCTTAAGGAAGGTGATGTTACCAGTCTGAGTCACATAGCTATCTACCATTGGTATAAAGAGTGGTGGCTGAGAACGCTCAACATAATATACCCGTCCTCCGTTAGGTACAAACCCATACTTTTCAACCATGGACAGGAAGTTCTCCAAGATTCCCCGTGTTGTGTCGTACATTTCAGAAAGTAGCAAGCCTTGTATGATCCAATATGTGTCCCAGTAGTAAAACTCCCTGAATCTTCCACCTGGAGGAACCAGAGAAAACCATTAATGATAAGACAGAAATATCCTGGAAATGTAAACTGCTGCTATCATATCCTGTTAATTGTTTCTAGAAATAAAATATAAAAGTAATCATATACAAAAATTGAAGGGGGATAACACATTTTAAAACTTCAACTTACTTCAGCCTCAGTTATACAGTTTTATAAACACTTTTTAATGCTTCTATATTTGAGAAAAGTGAATGACATACTGTTGTAAAAACAACAACAAAGACCTGTCACTTTATAGGATCAGACCCTTACTCGCTATCCTGTTCAGAATATAAGTGAAAACTGACCAGAATGTACACAAATCATGTTTTCTGGCATGATCACGTAATTTTGATTTTTTTTAAATTTTATTTTCTTCCATTACATTAAAGTGATACAAACTAGTTATGCTTATTGCCTATTTTGTTCACTTAATCAATTAATTTTTGATACACCATATTTAGAATTATATTTATCAAGTAAACAATTTATTTTTGATAAAGATACTGGGAAGATTTTTCTCCAAGACCTTCAGTTTCCCCCTGTCAATATCATTTCACCATTGCTTCATATTAACTCATGTATCGTCTGCAGAATGGACAATGGGCCTGTTAGTGGCGTAGTCTCATCCCATCACAAAATAAAATAAATAAAGAGGAAGAAGACTAAACTAACAAATTTTATAACATTTGAGTTATTCTCAGCAATGCTTATGTCCATGGCGGTCTTCTGGACAGTGTCACGAGACCCCTCTAGAAAAAAATACATGCAAATCATTTTAGGTGATTTCAGTTACAATTCTAACGACATGGAAACTGCAGTTCTAGAAATGACTGTCCTGCTTGATGAAATCTTCGACCGGCTCTCCACATTCGTTCTTACTTAAATCTTTGTTACGTACGTATTTTTAAAAATATTTTAGACGTGACTCACTTAATTCCGGATTCTGTGCCCGCAAGTTAAATCCTAGACGTGATACCTCCGAAATGGCCGCGAACTGGACATTTGACGATTATTCCAGATTATATGCTGAGCAAGGTAAGGGCTGAAGATAGATTTTTATATTGGGCAGCAGCTTTAATAAAAATTTGTGTTCGAAATTATATTAGAAAATCATTATGTTTATGTTAGATTACAGGATGTTGACAACTGAATGTCGTTGAATCTGAGCACTTTTCGACTGAGAGGCGCCGAACACGTGCTTTAAAACAGCAGAGATTTCGGTAAACAAGGGCAGTCGTCACGTCATGACCAACCTACGAGTTTGAAGTAGGATCCTCGCGTCAAATTTTTAAAATTCGAATGACGAATAAATCTGCCAATAGGAACACCGTTTCAGATGCAAAGTTTTTGACCTAACTGCCATCCCCACCCCGTGTACGAGTAAAACCGTGGACTCAACACACTTCGGCCAGTGCAGTCGTGTTTTGCTACAGCTCCCGATCTAAACTCCTTCATTAAATTTAATCTTTATGTATTCTGAGATAAGACTCGTCTCACCCGAGCTACCATCCGAAATAAAATCAAATTACCTTGAGGTATAATTAACACACATCCTAACCGGCCAGGCAATCTCGTGTGTGAAAGGAGGAGGAAATATGGTGGACACTTAGAATTCTTTGGCTTTAACTCACCTCTTCTTTTTCTTTTAAATGCACCGGATTCAAATTTGCTTCCTAAATATCGATCCCAACATTGTACTAAACAAAATATACAGTTCTACCTTCACAAGTCGAACGTGGCTGTCTTATCTTCCCTGTCAATTTCTTGGGCACAAAACAATTAAATTAAAAGCACCAATCATCTCGATAAAAATAAGTCTAACACACAAAATATGAACATAAAAACCTAAATAACACCACCATTGGTTAAGCTCTGCGAATTACTTCATTGCTGATTTAGACCATGTAATAATACAAGCCGCCAACTTACTCAGAAACATCAAGAGAACGAGTGATAATGTTGCCGGACAGTGAACAATATGTGTACCGTCAGCAGTGGTATTTAAAAAAATGTCATTTACTTTCCACAGTAATGTACAAGGAAAACTACGGCAACAATATATTGAAGAAAGGGGTCTCTACCTACAGCCGCGAGGCCATGGACCATCGCCGACTCGCAGCGCGCATCTGCTTCTGGGTTATGCCCCTGGGTGGCAGAAGATAAAGGGAGTATGCCCCTTCAAAACATTAGTACTCACTTACAAGTCCATATGGTGGCACAACCCAGAAATCAATCATTTTCAAGAAAACATATTCATGAGAACATTACTCTGGTAACAAAACTTGAAGATTTAACATCAATAACACAGCCTGTCACTGGACATCATACGTTGATAGAGAAACTGGGGAAATTACGAGAAGTACCCATAAAAACTGATGCTTAAACAAAGATACGAACTGTGGTATTAAGGATACAGATTAGACGACGTAGCATTTAATTTGACGTGATCTGTCCTAAAACATGTTTCCTACAAGTTTGTTTCTGTTGCGTACATCATACCGATCTGCTATAAGGCTTTCGAATACTTATAGACTGTATGGATGGTTTTCAATGAGGATGAAGATGAAGGTAAGATGGCTAATCGCTCTGATGATGGAGGCAGCAAGGACCTCTGAAACGTTGCTAAACTTTGGCCAGACTAAACGGTACAACAACCCAAAAGACAGCCATCTTCCGGTTCACCGCCGTGATAGCCTCAAATCCTACTAAGTGGAAGGAAAACAGTTGTGATGTATTGTTATCTTGCTGAAGCTAGGAGCCTCTCCACACGGAATGAATAACAGAAACAAAAGATCTTAGGATTAACACCTCCCGGTTAAAACGTTGTACCAGACACATTACCAATAATTTCGCTCACTTGCCTGGAATAACAAAGCCGTTTGGTACGTAGATGATTGAATACTCGTCTGGATGCTCGTGAACGTCATCAGACATCTTTCGACTCAGGTTCTTCCACAGTAAATTAAGTTCTCTCGCCCACTCCCTGAGGTCAGGGTCTGCAATCTTCTGCAGTACTACCGGGTTCTCCTTCCAGTCACCAGGGGACCAAGGCCGAAGTTCGTTCCCTTCAACGAATGTCTTTTCCACGAATTCTATAACCTGAAAAGTTTCGAACACCGTTAGGACGGTCCACATATAACGTTACGTCATATGCGCAGGTAGAAAAAATCCGCTGCCGAGAGATCAGGTGAGCGGGGAGGTCAGTTAACGTCTCCGTAGCTAGAAGTGAGTCCCTGTGGAAACATTAGGCGTAGAACTGCAATGATCATCAATTATCAGTGTGGGCATGGGTTCCATCTTGTTTAATAAATCAAATACAATTTCAGTAATTCCTTTTGAGAGACTGCGTTAGGTGACAGATTCACTACCTCACGACATCTAAACCACTTCCTACCTCTCTGTATTACAGCTGGAAGAAAGTCTGATGATCTGACCAGCTCTCTTCAAAAGCAACGTGGAATGAGGTGATAAAACTCTGAGGACGCAGCATTGAAATTATTCTTCCTTCATCACAATGAACAACTGTACAGTAGTCAGAACAAACCTGTGCATTTCACGCCTGTTATAAGTGTAAAGCAAGTGAGTCAGAGGGGTTTGGAGGGGTAGCAAATACGGAAACATACACTGTATACACTGTAAACATTATTTTTCAGCGCCAATACTTTGAAGCTCAGTTCAAATGTCGATAATGCCTTTGGTTTACGCAGAATATACGTTTGTCGTCTTTGTACCAACAAGGTAATGACGTATGCGAAACACATAATTTGATCCCGGCTACTATACCAACAATATAAAGTAAGCATCAATGATCACTTATAATTAAATCGTTTTTTAAATTAAATGAGGTGAAGGAAATTATCTGCTATAAATCTGGTTGTTCTTTTAAAATTCTGTCTCTCGATTTTCATGTGATTTCGTATAAAATGTATAAAGTACAGAATGTATAGACAAAATTTGAATTTTTTTCCTGTCAACGTGTCGTATGTTTCATCTCCGAAAAAATCTCGACTTATTTTGTTGAAGTTCCACATTGGTAAAAGGGTGTCTAAAATAACAATTAGAACGTGTACTACCTTACAATAGGGTCTGAGGATTTGGGCCGGATTTATCTAATTGAAGGCAGGGTCCAGTGGTGAGTTCTTATGAACTCAGTAATGAACCTTCAGGGACGCGTAACATCTTGCCTTTGTAAATGAGCAGAGAACAAACGCTGTTCAAAAAGGCTTTGCTGCATCGAGTATGATGGCGCCTTACTAATGCGGCAACTACTCCGCCACGTATGTGAGACGGATAATCTAAACATAATGTTGCAGGCATCATGCATACCTAACGCCACGGCCATATTCTTTTAACCAATCAAGAAATTGCCAGTTCTTCTGGGCTCTTATCACAAAAGACCACCAAACAATTGCATCTGGGCCAGTTCAGTTCACACCTTCACGTTTTCTCGAAGACATGCATGCTTAAATAATTACAGGGAGCAGTCTTTCTTAAGAAACTGATAGTAGTTCAACTCGTAAACAATTTCCCCGTCTTTTATGAAACCCAGAAGTCAATTTAATTTTTCACAGATGCCCACTGGATCTTACCCTGAGTTAGTTGAATCCACGCTACAATTTTGCAACCTATTTATTTGCGATCTATTTCAGTATCTTGAAGATACACACCAACAGCACCCAAATTATATCTCCCATTCAGTTGTTAAGAATAACAATATGATGTTGTTCTCATTTCCTCACAGATTCCACATGTCCCGCCAATCTCGTCTTCCTCAACATGACAACCAAAATAATATTATGTGAGGACTACAAATTAGAAAACATCTCGTTATGCAGTTTTCTCTACGATGCTGTCGAGTCCTCGTTGTTGGGTTCAAATATGCTCCTCAGCATCTTCTTCTCAGATACCCTCAATCTGTGTTCTTTCCCTGAGATGAAATAATAACTTAACCTCAGCTCTTTAATACCGACCCTTCTGGGTATGTTTCTAAAATAAAAAAGAAGTCTCTGAAACGTCGACAATGAATTAAAACGTAAACAGAATGTTTCATTTACAAATCCTTAAAACACGACGTTTCGGCAATTGGCTGTTTAGGTGGGGGGGGGGGGGCTATTCATAAGTGTCGGTGTGAAAGAGTCGATCCCTGTCATAAAGTAATCTTGAAATTACAGAAGGATTGGTATAATATTTTATGGTTACTTGCATTTAAAAATTCGTTCATTAATTTATTATGAGCTACTCAGGGCTCCTATAATAAAATACCGGTTACTTTTAGATAACTCTAATTCATTATGTTTTAGTAGAGACAGAGAGTTTTTGTTTATCGAGATTGTAAATAAAGATGCTTTTCTATAATATACAATTTCGATCATAGAAATTGTAGCAGACAGACGAGCTGTAAAAAAAAGGAGGTACAGCTCCTCTCTTTCTTAACCTCGGCACTAGATGGGGTGAGTGGTCAGCATCACGCCCCGGCCGTCTTTACCCCCGGGAAAGGACCCCGGTACCCATTGTAGAGGAGGCTGGGTGGGCTCCAGAGCCGGTCTGGACGCAGAGGCTATAGGAAAAATCCTCTGCCCCCGTCGGGGATCGAACCCCGGTCGTCCAATCCGTAGCCAGTCACTACACCGACTGACCTACCCCAGCTCATCTTTATATGAATAAAAGATAACATGGCCCCCACTGATATAGTCGATGAATTAAAAACCGCTAGAGCTTGACACAAATTATTATAAACTGTTAGGTCTGCACGCCAACAGCCAGTGCTTTAAACACTTGATAAACACGTCATGCATTATTTTCACAATCAGGAGGTTTTTAACTGGGCCATCGTATAAATTTAGGCAGATATACACACAAACGTTCCCAGAGGGGAGCGGGGTCTGGGGCGAAGCAGTCTATGAGGAGTCCTTTCTTAAGATTTCTAGGTTCATAAGACATAAATAAACAAAATAAAAGGAAAAAAAATATCCAGTGTGTTCTTGTATCTGTTCTGCGATTACAATGAAATTAGTAGGTCATACTTAAACATGCTTTATGTTAATTTCTTTTACTTCATGGGCGCTTAAGGTGTCGCTGTGAACGAAATATTTCGTATATCGTAAAGTCTGCAAGGGAGTTGTTGAGCATTGCGTCTCCTTTACCTGATCTCGATTCGGATTGCCGCCTGTCTGTCCCATGAAGTCCTCGAACAGTCGCAGAGTTTCCGCCGGCGGCTGCCTCTGCTTCATGTCCACAAATGTCTTGGAATCATTAAATATGTCAAACAGCTGCACCGTCTTCAGCAGATCTCCATAGCAGTATATGGGACTGAAACAAAGTATGGCCTGATTAGCAACCGGCGCGGCTAAACGATTATCTCAGGAATCATTAGGTATCGGCAATGCTAGTGACACCTATCGAGTATCTCAGGAATCATCAGGTATCGGCAATGCTAGTGACACCTATCGAGTATCTCAGCAATCATCAGGTATCGGCAATGCTAGTGACATCTCTCGAGGAATCGAACCCGAGACCCCAGGAATACAAGGCCAGCGTTCTAACCGCTAGACCACCGTGGCCATTATCTCTCGAGTACCAGTAAAATATGAAACTACATGTTTCCACGTCGGAGAAAATGTGGATTTTGGCCTTGTAAGTTGTGACGTAGTCTTAAACGTAGTTACCAAAGTTTCGGATAATCGTATCGCCTACTAGACTACACGGTGTCACAAACCAGAAGACAACAAACAATCCGTACCGAAAAACGTCTGTGAGAATTTCAGTAGGATATTTTTAAAATAAACCGATGATTTTTCAGGGTATTCATATCGATAATGTTGTTGAATATATCGACCAAATATTACCACGCGTACTTATGATATGGTCACGATCCTTTGACTAATTCGTTGACAAACTGATGATATTTAATAACGTTTAGCATGTAAAACTGTTCTTTCTGGCTTTGTCCGTAGTATAAATTATAGAATTATATAAAAAAGCTTTCGGTATCTGGATTCTGCTTCCGTCTTTAGCTAGACAAGGGAGGAAGAGGGGGGAAGCCTATCTGTTGGGCTCCTTTTTACCTGAAGACAAGCAGAATCTAGCTTTAGAAATGTAAGTTTATTATTTTGTAATTTAGAAGACGCACAAGGTCCAAAAGAACAATTTTGCAATTTTACACTTGCGGATTTTTACATACGTGATGGAATTACTCTAAATGGAACAGAGTGGAATAGGTGTCATAAGCGTAAAATATATGCACATAAAGTTAGTCCAAAAATTATTTTATCCCATACCGTACAAACATAATTAGTTTCATTCAACTTGACAGTAGACCTTCCCGGGAAAGGAATTTGCTCATCATGCAATATTCAGTATTCATAGTCAGCAAATATCTGCTGAAGACAAACATTTGGTTTTAAATAGTTTCCATTTCTGTTCTCTGAAAATTTAAGCCTATTATTTCCTTTGTGCTCAGAAGGAATACTCGAGCAGAGATATCCAGACACCTTAGCAAGACGTCCGATTCACATGTTAGTTAGTTACTGTGTTTGTTAGGAATGTAGGTGACGTGTACATTTTGATGACACGTTTTGAGATATCTGCAGTGGTTTTTACGCTGGAATTTGTTATAAACTACTACAGTATTTGACCCGAGAACAACAAAACACAGATATGAACAGCTGATGATAAGAGGCATGAATGGAGTATCTTGCTTCATTGACTCTCGCATTCCAAAGGATTATAGATCGAATTCCGGCGTCCTGCATCGTTTCATTAGTATTTAGAATGTTGTATTAATACAAACGAATTTTAAGACATTTCCTTAAAATTAATTATTATAAGCTCTTTGAAATTATATGTGGTGTCTTGAAATTCAAAACATGCAATAACGCTTGCAACAGTAAGAACAAGTAAATCTTCCAAATCCGGATTTCCCTATTGCAAGTCACATGGATTAACCCGGTTTCAAACTCTGATCCATTCTGTCAGATACGTGCACTATAAACGAAATGAGCCAACGATTTCGTTCAAGTCTCACACTAGTGGACATTGTCTACGCTGTTAAGAGCCATGCTAAATAGGTGTGGAAAAACTTGGGACTGTATTCAGATGAATTGTTAGATCGCTTTATCCTCTAGGAAAATATCCCTATTAATCGCTGTGCAGAAGGCTGGATGGACACTAAAGCCGCTTGGAAGCAGTGCCAAAGATACAAATCCTTACCCTTTCCGGATATCGAACCTCGGTGGTCTGGCCCGAAGCCATTCATTGTATATTCACTAAGCTAACCTGTCTCATGAAGTGAACTCTGTGTGAGAGACAGAGCTGCCGACATAAATAGGTATAGATTCGAGCCACAAAAGGTCTCTCTGATTTATATTTTTAATGTTATTTTTCAGTTTCTCCGAGCCATTGTCGATAAATACTTAAATGTATGAAAAACTGTCTTCTGTTGGTTCCCCTCCTCATTCCCATTCAACATTCATTATCACCTGTCACTCAGTATCATAACGCTCGTGCAGATAATGAACTTGCACACAATAAATAATCTGCGGAACAGATAATACTTTGCAGTGTCGTAACACAGACCTACGTCTGGTTACGTGGTTTCTTTCAAACGAAGGTTCGCGTAACAGATTCAATTGAATACCTATGTAATTCAATTTGTCAGGCCGAGTAAGGCTAAATCTGAGATTTTCTCCTCTTTGAAACGTACGTATTTCTAATGACAACACGGGGTTGGTCGGTTTGACTCTTCGCTTTATATGTTCAGAATTCCGAAAGACCATCCAGACATCGAGGCCCATGTCACGTGATTATTTTCTTATCGAATGTATGGATATAAATAACGACGTTTCGCTAATCACCCCTTTCTCCAATTCGAGAAAAACGTAAAGGTTATCTATTAATATCCTAGTCATTGGCCCACTTTATTCATAAATTAATATTTGTTACAACTGAAGAAACAAGGGCCCACTGGAACTTTGATGTAAGATTTCTAAAAATATGTGTGTTCTTATCATAAATATTATTTTTTTATTCTAATTCTACTGTCGTATCCCAAGCGTGCCGGAAACACCGAAAGGTTCAGAGCCACTGGTTCATCATCTCGGCTCGTCTTTCACTCCTTTGTAAAAAGTTGCGACAGTCATCCGCCCACTGTTCTAAGCGGCCAGCACACATCCGACTAGCTACAATTTCATTAGATGTGTTAGTCTAACACCACTGTCGTACTGCCTGTCCCTTCACTACAAAGCTCACACAATCTTCGTTTGTCTCGTAACCTTCCTACGATCCTCTAGTTTTAATCAGAACTCTGGCAAGTTCCACTTCCTTTCCTCTTATCAAGCTGTATCCTGAGTCCAAACTATTAACATTTTCTGCATGATACAGCCAAAATTCAATTGCTGCATTACGCCCATTATTTGGACAGCCCTATTTCTAATGAGTGAGCTTAATACGTGACATGATGGCCTTTCCTTTAAGCCCTCTGAAGTATGAAGTTCATCTGATGCAATTTAACTATTCAATTTCTACCTCGAAGTAAATACTTGTCTCACGGGCATAAATTGGTTAATACTAATTGGAAAAAATAATCTCTGCTTCTTATGAGTAAGTATCATAAACTGTAGGCAAAAATGCATAGTCAGTGAATATTGAACAGTGTGATAAATGTAAATGTTGTAACTGTTATTTAAACAGTAAATAATGCTACAGAATTATAATGACGCTTACACGATGCTAATACGTTCTAATGAGAACACAGAACTACACACATTCTCATATTGAGGTAAGTGCTTCGTCTGGAGATAAAATTTAATTAACACATTAAGTTCTCTATATAGAACACTTTCCGTGTACAACTCCGTATTTCTGCGGACCACAGCCTAATATAACAACCTCTAGTGACGTCATTCTCTTGCTACACAAACTTTATTTTTATGACTACAAACCTACCCTTCCCAGGAAAGTGTCAATTCTGACCAACGCTAGCGCCGCGGAAATACATCCCCAATCGACGGCAGCCAGAATTGAACTCCATAAAAACACGACAAAGAAAGTACGTGTTTTAGTGTTTTGCTTATGGCAAATCCATATCCACTCCGAAGTGCGTTAAAAATTTCAGCACTGCAAACATTTTTACGAGCTGCTACAAAAGGTTTTCGTGCCGAACCTTACATCCGCTGTTTGGAAGTTAACATCGATCCTTCGAATTGCTTTTCATGAGCAAAGGGTTCCGCTTTCTCTAACCTCTCCCAAATTCTCACTGGCGTCGCGAACTCGCTTCCTGTTACTCTATTCCGGCGTTCTTCAGACACTCAATCACTTTAAGCTTAAAAGAACGCCCTTAAACCCGCACTGATCACATCCACTAGCGTCACTGCAGGCCACGGGCGTGTGGCTGCAACCGGAACAGCATTGGAATGCAAATAATCGCTTTCTGAAAACAAACGGGAATAATGCAGACTGGAGGTTGAAAAATGCGTTACTTGAAGCAGAGCGGATTGTATTGTTCGGTAATTTTATGATTCCAAAATTTATAACATACGAGCAGACGTTGGACGCATATGAGAGATTAATAATATAAAATCGGGCATCAGATAGGTCTAACAACTGGACTAAACTGGCTCAGAAAAAGAGTCCATATGAGTGTTTTCGTGAGCACGGAATGGAAATTTTGGTTCCGGGAAAGCAAGACGTTCTTTGAGCAGCTGAGTAATTAGCAACAGCTAATGGATAATCCTATTATGCCCTCCAATTGCAGCGCAGAACGAGTCCTGAATGTGACCATTAATGGTAAACACAGAAGAATATGTAAGATCGCGGAAATTGTCTTTTGGAAATATTACAAGGCGGAAAAATCCAGACGATTATAATCTACATTTATATGCCAGTCTCAAATCACGTTATATAAACACTACGTAATTCAACGCTTTAAAATATCCGAAGAAACTAAAAAATAAGCAAACACCACAGAGTGGTAGAATTATAGCTGCATAAATCCACAGCATTTATTCCACAGTACATAAATACAGTGCTCGATACGGCGTAGTAAAATAACACCATGAATGTGTAAAAAAAGACATCACGCTTGTCTCTACATTACACTCAAGGAATTTTAGAGATGTGTTTCGATAGATGATCGACAATAATTACAATTATCATCCTTGTCGTGTGCTAGATTTATAAAAGGATCTTAAAGAGATAGGGTGAGAGGATGTGAATTGGATTAATCTGGCTCAGGACAGGGACCAGTGGAGGAATCATGTACACCACGGCCCGAATATCAGCTTCTCAAGAAAGAATATGCTTTATGTTTTTAT